CAAATTTTCTCACATATTACAAAACTTTATTTCATCCTTCATTTTACCATAGTCATTATCAAAGCGCTTCATCGAAAATTATTGAACTTTTTGGTTGTTCCCATAGAGCCAGATAAAAGGTAAATTTCACCATATTATGAAGGCTTTAATCATATTCCTCTTTCTCAGTATATAGTCCTTAGAATATAATTCGTTTTTAGCCTTCAATATTTCTCCAAAAGAGATGGCAGCAACTGATTTTTTTCCAGGCCATAACGGGACGTATTATTAAAAAAAAAAATATTTTGAATACTTTTTCAATAACATCGCCCCAAAAAGCTTTTCTGACTGAATTCTCTTTTAATCTTTTCGCAGTTTAAGATGGTTACTTTTTTGGAGCAGGGATGGACCTTTTCTTTCCCAAGAAATCTGCTCTTACATTTCCATGAAGGACACAGTGTGGTAGGTATCCACTGAATGGCAACCTCTTTACCATTTATAGTAAAGATGTTAATTAATGGAGACGTTTTAAAATTTCCTCTGACATAACAGACTTAGAAGAACAAATTGCTTCAAGAGCCGCTTTAGAGTCAAAGAGGAAAGCAACTTTCGAAAAAAGTTGAAGCATAGTGGTATTGTAGTTGGGGCAAAGCTATAATGGCTGTAATTTCAGAATCGGAAGCAGTTCTGTTTTACCCGACAGGACTGTAGAATAAAAAAAAGCATGCTTGCTTTGACTGTCGACCAACGTATAATCACCTGTAACCACGTGTAGCCATTCACTCTCAGGTTAAAAAGCATCTAAGGTCTCCAGAGCCAAAGATTCTTAAATTCGGTTGTTTGTTTGTTTCTTAGGGATTACACACAGAAGATTATTTCTATTATGTATTCTTTTCTGTCAGTAGGGCATTGCTTTGTTGGGCATTGCACACTCAATTTCAAAGCCAAGATCTAGCTGATCTCTAACTAGAAGCACTCCTTAAAGAAAGCTAGCAATTCTGTTTTTTAAGATCTCAATGGGGAATAATTCGACAGGAAAGAACAATCTGGTTCACTTAAATTTCTTTCTCGGTAAGATCTTTTTTTTCCACAGTGGATTCAATATTTATGTAGTGCATAGATAATAAAAGTGTTAGTGCATGGATAAAAAAGTTTGTTTTAAGGCACCAGTGTAAACAGACATAAAAAAAAATAGATACAAGATGGGAAATCATTCGAGACAGGCGATCACCGGTTTAGATGATGCCATGAAGGGTTCGCAACAGTAAGTGACACGAGACAGAATATAGCAGCCATGTGTCAAGTTAAGAATGGTTCCAGAACAAGCCCGTTCATAACAACTTTTTTCATTAAAATATACTCCTTAGCAGCATTTCAACAAGCTCTCTCCAAGTCGATTTACAGTGAAAACCACACCCAATAGTGCTTGTGAGCTGTTATAGTGAACATATATAACAATATTTGGTACTATTCCGTCTTTGAAACCGTTAAAAATTCCGACTATTATAGCAGCCAGTCATGCTTACTTAAATGTGGTCATATATACTGTGGTAATAGGTACCTGATATATGTACTGCGGCAAAAGACCACAAAAGACCACCCGCATGGAACAGTACCTATCATTTTGATTACTTGGGATTTCCCAGGCTCAAAAATATGTTATAGTCGATTTTAGTTAGATAGCAGTAGTTTTTTCTACCAATTTTGTAATGAGATGTTTTGGAGTGAAATAAAAAGGTTTTTTTTTTTGTAAATAAATCAAAACTACCAGAGTATGGTAAAATATATCATGTTTCTGGCTCTATGAGAACACCGAAAAGCTTTCGGAGCTTAAATTTTTAACGCAGCGCTTAGGTAATGACTTTGCCAAAATTAACCCTAAAATATGGTTTCATAATATGTGATGAAATTTGGTAAAAACAGTGCATGATATTTTAGAGCGTGGCATAAAAACCCTTTAATCGGTTAAATTACTTTTCAGATTTGTATTTTTTACTAAATATGTATAGATAACTAGAGCCATAATTTTGAAAACCAGAATTTCCGGTAAACGCATGATTGGAAAAATTACCAAATGAATTGTTTATGTACCGTATATTATTGTTTTTAATACTAGAATTATGGTACTTCCTACCAGTATGTCATTACGATACAGTACGGTAATTTCATCAATTTTTTTCGTCAGTGAATGTGCTGTGTAAAATATAGTTACAAAATTTAAATTTTTAAAATTTCAAGTATCTTTTCAACTTTGTCAAACTTTACCAAAGCTGCTGTTGCAGCTTTGTATAGGTTTAAATAAAATATGGTATTGAATATGATCTATACATGGTATGTGTATCATAACATAGCCTAACAGATTAAAACTGTTGCTTTACGGTGAATGTTTTTTTGCGTCGTTAATGTCTATATTTCATTTCTTTGAAATAGTTACTCGTGGAAGCTTATTTGTTTAGAGTTCAATATGTGTAGTAAATTAGGGTTTAGAAATTCTAAGTAAAAAATTTTGTTAATCGAAGAATTACTATGCACCGTAGTTCAGAAAAGTGGACACTTAAAATTAATAATTAGTTGAATCAAAACGGCGTGATTTGCTTTATTCCTCCGATTGAAATGAAAGATAAATACTACTTGTAACTCTATTTTTTTCTTGCATTCCACATCCTATTTTATGATATTTCCTACACTGTAAAAAATTCCATATCAAATTATGGTATAAAAAGTACCGTCACTTTTTGTGCATTATCCGTAAAATCTATTTTAACCGTAAAATATTTTACCTAATTTGATTCGGAATTTTCTTACAGTGTATAAGTTTTGTTTTATGGTTTTAAAATTTATAGAAAGTTTGAGTTATTATAAAATAAATGTGGGTTTAATTTTATTGTTTTAAAATAATAGCATTCCAAATTTCTCCCTTTTTTATGAATTCTCATTCTATCTCTTTTTTCTGTAAGGTATACCTGTTATTCCCAAACTTAAAGGGAAGAATGTTGAAGTGATTTTATATAATAACAAAATAAAGCTTTAGCTTTATCTTTAGTCGCATGGCATATATATTCAAATTTATAAAAAGCCGGGAAATAAAATTTATGAGAAATAAATATAATTCTCAGGAATAGTAAAAATTATAACGGAAAAAAGTTCATAATGAAGAAATAAAACTAAATGATAATTTAATATAAGGAAGCAATAGAAAAGCTTGTCTCGACCTCATTTTGAAGAAGGAAAACTTTTGAATAATTTTATTAATACTGATAAAATTAATTTCATTATTGCTGTTTTTTATAGACATCAATAAAATTTGAGTTATTAAAGACTTGGTTTACACAGACCGACAAGCAATTTGACCGTTGTTAGCAAACTGTAACATTTCAATTCTAATTTGTTTTGGAATAAATTTTGACATTTCTTTTAATTATTAAGCGAAGAACAAAATAACTAAGTTAGGCAAAATTTCAAAAACATTATTAAACATCTTTTAATACAAATTATTTACAAGGAAAGTATGATATATTGACACATCTTGAAAAATAAAGAAATAACATAAAATAAAAATAAAGTAATAAAATAATTATGTAATTAGCAGTGATTTGATCTAAAATATGAAGAAAAAAAGAATTTAAAACTGAATTGAAATAGAACTAAATACATTGTTTAATATTGAATTAATATTATCGAATTAATATCTAAGTATTCCTACTTAAAGCTTGATAAAAAATAGCAAATTCACTCTTAGATCTTAGCTTCTAGTTTAAAATATTGCTAACAATTTCAACAAAACAAAACATTTCAAAGAATTCTATAATAAATATTTTTTATTACGCACGTCAGCGCAAAGAAATTTTTGCAAAATCATCATTGTTCAAAAAAATCCATTTTTTGAAACTTTGCGAGAAAATTCTAACAATAATAAAACTAATAATTCAAAAATTAATTTCCGAAAATGAATTTTATTGCTTTTAAAAATATCTTTTATTAAAATGAATAAGCATTAAAATTCTCTAACCAAACCAAAAAACATTTTAGTTTCGTTTTTCGGTATTTACTTCCACTTCCGGTTTCGGTTTCGTCAGGCAGCCTACAAAAAAAAAAAAAAAAAAAAAAAAAAAAAAAAAAAAAAACTGTACATTTTTCTTTAAAAATCAGAGATAAAAATTTTAAAGAGTTTTTGAAAGCTAATGAATTAAAGTCCAAACACGGATGATAATAATAATATAATAATAATAAAAAATAATAGTATAATAAGGTTTTTTCATAAGTATAATGATCATTTAAGCCTATTTTTTAAAGATAATGTGTAATAATTAAGAAAAAATGCTTTATTTCTTATAATTAATATGCACAAATCTATATGTTTAAATGCATTTTTCACAGATTTTATACACTTATATACGTAAACTCCTTTACTATGCTTAAACATTTTCATGGATATTCTATATTCTATATTATATATATATATATATCGTCTAATTTATTCATCTAAATAAATAATAAATCTAAATAATAAATAACAATATAATAAATCTATCTCGAAAAAATTTCTTAAAATATTCCTCAGAAAAATGTCTCAAATATATATGGGAAAGTTACAAAAAATTTTATTTTATATTTGACCTGAAATAAAATAAAGTAAAATAAAAATGTTTTTTAATATTAGATAACAATAATTTAGGCAAGAAAGAAATGAAATGCAGGTNCTATCTATCTCTCTCTCTCTCTCTCTCTATATATATATATATATATATATATATTAAACATATTCCTCATAAATTATAGGATTGCTTGCTGAGACTTCTTATCCTTTAACATTAAGAGATAAGTCTTGCACCCGTATTACAAAGCGCATTTCACAAAAACACAAATACGATACACGCCTTTGTGCATAAAGCATAAACAAAAACAATGTGGATTAAGATGGTAACCCTATTAAAAAGTCATGCAATTCTTTTCTATTCTTTTTATTCGAATCGTCCCTTTTACAAATTCCTTTCTTCGTGAAAAAAATCGCCTGCAGGATATCATTGGATATGAAGTCCGTTGAGAGAACACTTTCACGTGTTAAACAACATCCGTGTTTGACCTACTCTCTCGGTCGAGAAAAGTGTTCCAGTTGAAAGTGAAAAACTACAGGTGTTGGTTCGATCTCAAAAAGTGTGGTGAGTTTCTTATCCAGCTTATCTTTTTGTCAATCTATTCATTACACAATTTAAGACCGGTGCTTCATTCATTCATATTTTTAAATTTTAAATATGCTCATAAATATATATATATATATATATTCATAATTTTCAGAATTTTTGTCCCCTGCTGTTAATAAAGTGTTGAAAAGCAAATATCTTAATTCTTTTTCTGTTAAAAATTCGAAATAATTTTTGAAAAAAAATTAAGATTCGTAGAAAATTTTGATGAAAAATAAAGTCTGTTTCGTTGATTAAAATCATATTTAGCGCAAGGAAAACACGTGAAAAACTTATTTGTTGTGCGCAAAACAACTTTGAGGACAAAGATTAAGCAATTAGGTGCCTCCACCCTCGGCTCACTACGGGTCGGCAATCTATCATTTTTGCTACATAATTATTGTTTGTCTGCTTCGAAATTAATTGTTTTATCGTAGTTTTAAGCGGAATTTTTTTTTATAGTGGTGACGTAGAACAGTTTTTTGAAGCTATCAATTATATAAGTAGTAAAAAGAATTGTGTTTGCTCTGGAATCTATTTGAAAACATATGTAAGCCGGTATAGGGGGTTTAAGCCCCCCTGTTTATTGCAGCTCATTAACTCTGTTGATTGCTTCCAATAGTTGCTATTTCTTCACTTGAAGAAATTTCGGAGAAAATTACGGTAAAAAGTACTGGCAACCTGAATAAAGCTTTCACAAAATCCATTTTACCATGAAATACACTTTTACTATAGAATTCAATTCTACCATAAAGTTCAGTTTTACCGTAAAATTTTATACCGCAGTTTTTGCAGTAATATTTATTTAATAATAGTCAGTCTGTGATTTTACAGTAAAACTTACTGTTTAAAAATTACTCTATATCGGATATTTTGCTCCGTACAATTTCAGGGCAAAAAATAATTTTACGGTGAGAAGCACCGGCACTCGATGCGCCATTATTTTTTATCGTAGTTTTATCCGGAATTTTCCCAGTGTTGACATGAAACAGTCTTTTCTACTAAAGTTGAAACAATTCTCTTATACAGGTACTAAATATATGTATAAATTAGAAGTGTTCAACTATATTACATGGGATGTTATACAAAGTATTGTGCAATATAAATTATAAGTGCTGATGACAACTAAAACAATACGGAAGTTAGTGAGGGAAAACTGAATCTTACCATGTGATTTCCCTGTCAATAATAACGTTTATAAGACAATATGACTACTATATGAGACAACTTTATTATTATTAACAAAAAATATTTTTAACTTTTGTTTTATACATTGAAAGACGCCTTTGGCGACCAGCATGGTCACTTTTCAAAGTTATCTTGTTCACAACATACACTGGTGGACAAAATTAAGAGATGGAAGACATTTTCCCAAATATCTCAAAAAATACTGAATATAAATAAATGAAATTTGGTGTGGATATAGTTTATTCCATGATAATAAAGTATGCAAAACAAAAATGAAAGTGCCATTCAGTGGCAAGACCTATTGCCAATAAATCCAATGTAGTCTGAACTTAAGGATAAAAGATGACAATAAATGTGAGGCTTGTACAGTGTGTGTTGCCTCTAGTATGGTGTATGGTCACCCCTGACAGACAGATAGCATGCACAACGAGTATGCATGCTGTTAATAAGGGAGTTAAGGAGGACTTGAGGAAGACCCTCCCATTCTTCCACCAGAGCAATTTTTAACTCCAGAATGGCTCTGTGGGGGAGGTTGGCGCATCGCAATAGCTCTCCCAAGAGCATCCCAAGCATGTTCAATAGGATTCAGGTCAGGGGATTTGGCTGGCCAATTCAGTCGTTGAGTATCATCGCTTTCCAGATACTCATCAACCATGAGAGCCCTATGTGGTCGCGCATTGTCGTCCATAAAAATGAACTCAGGGCCAACAGCGCCCCTGAAAAGACGCTCTAGGACCTCCTGCCTGTACCTCTGGGCATTCACGGAACCATTGTCCAGCACATGGAGCGTTGTGGGGGTATCTTGCATGTGCCAATGCTTTTCATCTCTTAATTTTGTCCACCAGTGTAGAAACTTCGATAGTAATCAAGCCGAATGCACAGCACAACTGTATTTAAAAATTATAATTCTACAACCTCTCCACCATTATATATATATGTTGTTTATTGTTTATATGTTGTTTATTGTTCAGACATGCATCACAGAGTTCATGTTCTCAACGCCAGGAATCAAACGACACAGGCAAAACTATAAAGAACACCCTCTGATTGCATGTAGCATGTATATTAAAATTTCACGAATAGTTATGTAAATGTGAATTACTTTATTAGAACTGTTATGCGTAGATTTGAATAACATATAATTTGAAAAATTATGATTTGATAATAATGATTTGAATAACTTAATAACATGTTTTTTGTTGAACCGGGATTTATGTTTACGAAGGATAATGATAATATGGCCAAATTTGGAACCTTGCAATGATTGCAAATAATTTTCAACAGTTTTATGGTTTAACATAATCTTATAATTTTAACAATGTGTGGCAATACATTGAGTTATTAGAATTTTAACAGTGCAGAATAGTAGACTTAATTAATTAAATTTTAACAATTTGCAGCGATAAATTGAATAATATTGAATAATATATAATTTTTAATATTGTAAATCAGTAGATTGAATTAATTACACTATGAACAATATACTATAACATACTGAATTAATTGAATTTTTAACGTTGCATAATAATAGATTGAATTAATTGAACTTTCATGAACTCACAGCAATATATTGCTTCTTTTAAGTCTTTAACAATTTATAGCTATGAATTAGTATTTTTAACACCCAGGTTATTGTAAAGTGCATATTATATCAAGTACAAAAGCAGCAAAAATATTTTTTTTTAATTTTTAACAAAAAGATATTGTTAAAATGTATTTTCCTATACTTTAACATAACCCGTAAAGTGAGATAAATGCTTTGTTACGTTCAATTAAGAGAATAGATCTCATGGCATAAATGAGTGAGAAAGCATTAACCTGATGTCATAATTTCACTTTACTTCTCAGCATTCAGATGCATTAATTACGAAGGAAAGTTTATTCAGTACATTCTAATTATTAAACGTGTTTTACACGGCCTCAAGCTTTTTTCAATTTTGTGTCTCTTTTTTGCGCACTTGTTTGAAAAAAGAACATTTTACTGATTACTTCATCTATTCGTGTTATAAATTTAAAAGTAGTTAAAAAAAATTAAGTGATAATTAATTAAGTAACAAATTAGGTAACAATTACTTTACTTCTAAAGTATAAAAATTTTTGCAAAATTAGGCTTCAAATAAGCAAAATTTTCACGTGAAAGGTTTCACACGGAGAAAAAAATTCTAGTAAAATTACCATACTGTTTGGTACTGATTTCCATTCATGTAATTACGTTTTACTGTAAATTCTTGTTTTTAAAATTATAGTTCTTTTAACCACCCATTTAATAGAAAGCACAATAATGAAAAGCAAATTTAACCGAATAAATGATTTTATGCCCTGTTCTGAAGCATTGTAATAAAATTATCAAATTTCATTACGCATTATAAAACTATATTTAATTCTTAGTTTTACCAAAGTGCTTCGGGAAAAAATACCGAGCTTTTTGGTGTTCCCTTAGAGTCAGAAAAACGGCGCATTTTACCATATTCTGGTAATTTTGACCCTACTTTTTTATCTCTGCGGCAGGAATTGGAATATTAAAGCAAGTGGAATTATTATGTATTCTGTTTGATAAAAAAAAATGCACAGGAAAAACTTAAGAGAAATATTTATTCGAAAATAATTTCATTTTTAACTTTTGTATGAATTGGACTTCAGCTTATGATAAATTCGACTTCAACTTTTGATGCTCAACTACCTTTAAATTTATTCAACAAAAAGATTAAATCATCAGTAAAAATTACAAAATAGGTGACACTAAATAATAAAATTCTGAAACACGCTTAGTAAATTTTTCTTTGATTGACAATTTTTTTAAAACTTATCATGAATTTGGTCTCAAGCACTCTTGCTTCGAAAACGGAGTTTAAACTCCATCTGTTGTCCCTAAGCTTTTCTTTCGTCTAGGTATGTTATATGTGCTATAGTTAAGAATCTATTAGAGTTGGACGGGAAATTTATTTTGTATATTTATTATTTAAATATCATATTACCAAAACACCATGCAGTGAAGATCCTTGAAGCACTGAGTTTGTGAGGGCTACCAAGATGTTTATAATATACGAAGCCTCGTGTTGACTTCTTTTGTAAATAATTTAACATTAATAAATCCTTTTCAGAACCAAAAACAAATATTTATTGATAGTATACGCTTACTCGTAACTTGCAATATACACGCACTTTTTGTATCGACGTTCTACAATATTTTTTTTAATATTACAAAACAAAGCATACCGCTGTTGCCATTTCTTATTTACTATATATATATGCGTTTACATTCGACCATCCTGACATTTTAATTGACCTCAGTTGAACTAAACTTAAAATTTATTGCAATGAAACTTACTAGATTAGCAATATGAAATAAGATGGGCTTCTAAGGGTTCTTTGATTTCTCAGCATTCATATAAATTAAAGCTTGGCAGACGGTTACTACTGTAAAATTGATGCCCAACAAAAAATTGTCTAAGTCGTTCTAGCGTCCATACTATTGCCATTAACTCTAACCTACTGAAATGATACTTTTTTTCCGTCTCTGTAGTCTTCTTATTCACACAGTAAACTAAATGTCATTTGTTATCGTTTCCTATCTGAAGGAACATACCAGCTATACCATCTGCTCATGCAACCAGCGTGAACTTCAGTTTTCGCTTCAATATTATAAAGAGCATTTGCCTCTTTATAATCCTGAAGCGCTGATTTATTAATTAGTTATTGGTTGATTCGTTTGTGTTCTTATGATTGGTTGATTCGTTAACTCCCGTTAAAAGGTTTCCAACGCCTCTTCTTGATTCTTTTCCCATTTGAAA